CGTTTCAAAAGCAGCTGAGCACCTCGCCCCAAAGCTAAGGGCTCTCCTCTGGAGCCCCAAAACCACATGTGCCCAACACTTCATCTGTTAGTAGCTCAGGTTTTGAGCAACAAATTATTTCCATCCTTTGAAGCCCTTTCCTGGCATTCAGCTGAAACTGAATGCAAACTGTAGGATCTGCTTTTCCTGGTGCTGAAAAAAATCCACCATTTCTCTGTTTTCCACCACACAGCCCCACAACAAGCCAGGTCTTTGGGACTGTGTGGAAAACACCAGGTCAAACCTCACTCCTCAAACTGGTTCTCCTAAAGGACCCTCCTTCATCACTGATATTAAAACAGACAGATGAAAACACCTGGCCCAAAAGTGTGGTTACTTTATTAATTTGCATTTCCTGCTCTCTGACAGACCTGTTCCTCTTCAGGTCAGGCCACTAAACCAGAACTCTGCTAAGTCTAAACTCAATCTGTGCCCTCCTGATTTAGCAAGGTCCCTCCCAAAGCTGTTTGAGCTGCATGACTGGGAGCTGCTCTCTGTTCTTGCTAATTGTGCCCTGATCAGCCATAAAAGCAGCTTTTCTGCTCCACAAACAGACACCAGAACAACCCTGTCCAGAGGGAAGTTCTTTCCTGCATTCTCAAGGGAATGTTGTGTGGGAATCTGGGCTTCATTTTTTATTTTTTGAACAAATAATCAGTGATTGAACACAGTTCTTGCAGTAGCTCTGAGCCCAGAGCAGTTCACTGCAGGGCTGGGGTGGATTTTGATCCTCCTGAGGCTCAGGGACATTCCCAGGGAAATTCCTGGAGCTGGGAAGGGGAACCTGGCCAGAGAGGCTCCTCAAAGTCAGCAGTTTGCTCTACACCGCCTGATATTTCCAATATCTCCATCTCCTCCTTCAAGTCCTGACACATCCCTCTCAACACTCAAAAGTTTTTGTCCCTATGCCAATGGCAGAATTAGCTCTGAATTACCTGGCTTTTGCTAGTTTAGATCAGATTCTAAATTATTTAATGCAGGATTTTGACATTTATATTTTTTAATGCCTCTGACCCTCTTGTCTGCCAGGCAGCTGTTGCTCTGGGGGCTCTCCTTTCTGACATCAGCTATTATGCCTTTAAAAGTGCAAATAATTAAAAATAGAAGAGGAAACATGTGCAGAGGGCTATTTTATTTTTTTTTATTCATCAAAGGCAGCTGAGCCCCTCTATGCTTTCCATGTTGTGCTTTGCATTTGTTCCAGCAGGAGGATAATGAGAAATGGAAAACACCAGTGTTCATTATTTTAGCATATCCCCTAATGTTCATTATTTTAGCATATCCCCTAATGTGTTTTCTCCCTTTTCTGGGAGAGAAAAGGGATAAAAACTTTACACTGCCTTCAATTCGCTTCTAAATCTGCCCAGACCTGATTCTGAAGTCTTATCTCCAATATCTGTTTCAAAACTTTCCACAGTTCACAATTCCACAAAAATCCTCTTCTCTCCCTCTCTCTTCCCTTTTCCTTTTCACAGTTTCATCTCTATGAAAATATTCTCACCAAAGCCTGACCTCTGGGGTTAATTCAACATGTAATTAAGACTCAGATTAAACACAAGAAGGCAAATTTTCCTTTGGTCTCAGGTTTAACCTGGGCTGCCCTGAGCCAGGATGGGTATAAGAATTCAATTAGAAAAAAAAAATAGAAAATATTCTAATATTTTAGAATCTTTAAGTTAAATTGTTCTGCTTGACAGAGAAATTTTTAATCAAAATGTTTGAATGTCAGTTGTTTTCTCATCCCTGATTTCATCTCCAGTTTAGTACATGAGAAATGGCACAAAGTGGCAGCAGACATTTTAAATTGTTTGGGACAGGCATCTTGTCTTAGTTATACTGAAAAGAAATATATTTGGTGCACAATTAAAATGGCCACTGCTCTCAGCTTGCCTGATTATAATCTCTACCATATGACTCCGCTCTTGGAACATGCAGCTCCTTTTTGTGTGTTTGCCATGAAATATCCTATAGCTGAGAGCAGCTAATACTGGAGAAAATACTGATTTCCAACTGGGATATCTGTGAAGGATCATAAAATAGGAGAAATTCAGATTTCTGGGTATAACGTATCAAAGAGGATACATTTAGCAACTTAGGTTCTGGATATTTAGATTTAGGTGTTGTCCAGGGATTCTGGACATCAGCTGCCGGTCCTGGGCTGCAGCAGGACCAAGGATGATCCTTAATCCCATTGATGCTGCCAAGCCCACCTCCCAGGCAGAGGGGCTGCAGGAAACTGCACTTCTCTTGCCCCACATGAAATCCCTTTTGCACAAGCCCCTCTTGCTTGCTGTGGGCTGTGAAAGCCATCTGCGAGCCCAAACAACAACGCTGCTTTCATCTCCACAACAATCCTCTCTGCCCCGGGCTGTGGGGCACTGATGATGTTTGTTAAATAACCCATGTTTGTTAAAACAACCCATGTTTGTTAGAACACTCTGCTCCAAGCACCGCTGCTGAAGCTGATAACCGTGTTTTGACTTCCCTTCTGCCCCTGTTTTGTGTTCTGAGGGTGAATGTGGGCAGGAATGAATGTTTGGGGCTGTTTTGCTCCAAAGCATGGGATAGATCACCATGGAGGGGACATCCAGAGGGTGCAACCTCCCCACAGTAACATAACCATACATCAATCAAGCTTCTCTTAATATTCACACAATACTCATCCATTAATTGTGAGAGACAATCCTCTCATTATTCATCTATAACACTTCTGTCCCTGTTTTGTGTTCTGAGGGGGAATATGGGGCAGGAGTGAGTGTTTGGAGCTGTTTTGCCAGGAAAGCATGGGATGGATCACCATGGAGGGGACATCCAGCCCTGCAATCTCCTGGGCTGCTCTCCTTCTGCCTCCACATGTTGTAACACAGCTCTGCTTGTGCAGAACGGGGCAAAATGCAAATATTTCAGCTAAGCGCTCTCTTACACTGCTGCTGTAGCCCGCACACGTCCGTGGGATCTGGATCCCTTTGCTGTGTGTGGGTGACCTTTGCTAGGGATAAAACTTCACCTAATTACACCTCCTTTGCCTGCAGGGAGGTGATGAGCACAGCCCAGCCAGAACTCTGGCATTGCCTGCTGAGCAGCCCAGGTTATTCCTCTGATGGTGCCTTCCTGAATTTCTCTGTATTTCCTTCTCCATTCCCTACCTTAGATAGTGGGTGAAGATACTTTGTCTAAAACATCCCTATTTTTCCTATAAAAATCAACAAATCACCTCACTTTGCATCTGCTGACCCACCTATGCCGTCAGAATGATAAAAGCAAAAGTCTCACTTTTTCCTGAAACATCTCCACTGTTTGGTTGATTTTTCAATGAGTTTTGAGGGGTTTTGTCATTTACTGCTAGGACAATTTGAAGCAGCAAATCACATTATTATTTTAACAGTGCCAGAGGAAATGAGCTACTCCACATTTTCTAGTTACACCATTCACAGTGCTAACCCAGCACAGAAGCCACGATTTCACATCTCATCAGTCTGGCAGGCTCCAGGATAACTTCTCCTATTCAAACTCCCAGTTATTTTCTAACCTAGATGGTGAATAAAATATATATGCACATACATATTGATATATACAAATAAATAGTTATTTCTTGTACTTATAAAACCAGAAAGGGATTAGCTGCCTCCTGAATAATGTTAGGAATAAAATATTCCCCAGCATTTCTGCACTTCAAAGCAATGCCCAATGAAGTGTGATGTGATGAGAATTCTCTGAGATTCAGAGGGGCCAGGACTTTATCCACAGAATAAAAGAGGAACTATTTCTGCAGAGACAGAGTCCAAACTTTGGCAAAGGAAGTTTTAATAGATTTTTACATGACACAAAGCCAAAAGTATCCAGAAATGACTGATGTCTCAAATTCCATGGCAAAAATCCAATCTTCCAACAGAAGATTTTCTCTTGACTGCAGTGGTGATGAGATCAGGTATGAGGGAGCAAAAATCAGCTTTTGATGTTTAGTATCCATTTTAACATCATAAAACATGTTAGAACAGCTCATTCACACACACACAGTGCTTCTTGGAAAAGCAGCATCAGGAGAAAATTTGAGAGGGAAATTCTCCAGGAGTTGGTGAGGGAAACCTCTGACTGCTCATGAATGGTTCTGGCTTCTGACTGCTCCTTTCCCACCAGAGTGAGGCAAAACTGCTGCTTTTGTACATATTTTGTTGGTTCTGAACAGGACTGACAGCGCTGCTCCCTCCCCAAGCTGTTATTACAGCCAGTGGCATCACTATGGTTGCACTCCATTTTCTGGAATAGATGAATTACTGGTTAAGTAATAAAATACAAAATTACCTCTTTTAAGGTGGTGTGTGTGACATTATGGGGAGAGTTTTCCAAACCTCTTCACTAACACAGGTAATTAGTTGCCTCTTGCTTAGCATTTTCCTCAGATTCCAAACTCTTTCTGCTCCATGGACTGGTTTTGGTCCAGTGAAATAAAGACACTCCATTTCCAAAATTTATAGGGTTCATTTATTACCTCTAGTAACATATTATACTGTATAAATACTCTATCCTTGTTATATGTCCTTTTAAAAAAGCGATAACTTAGAAGATCACATTAGACAAGAAGTATAAAAATAAATACGCTCATTATATGCATTTATTACAAATTATAACCCTTCCCAGAAGGGAGAGAAATATAAAATACTTATGAAGTATATAAAATCTATAGTAATATATTTTACTATATACATATGGAAAGCCATATTCTCTCATGGTCTATGGACTGGCACAATCTTCAATGATGTGAATGCTGGCGTTTCGCTGTGGATGGACCTGCTATCCCTCAGCTTTGCCTTCCCACCTGATCAGTGACTGAGCTCTACAAACCCAGCAGAGGCCACAGAGGACACACCCATTCATAACGGGATTCTTTTCTCTTTTCCTTTTTAACTCAAATAATAATCCATTGGCTGGGGTAAGGCCAAAGGCCACTTCACACATGGAGTGTGAAGACACGACTGGAATGCTCACACACCCCATGAATCTGTTTGGCAGGAAGGCAGGACCAAGCTGGAATCAGAAAAGCCAGTGGAAGGTATACGCAGAAGGCACAAAGAGCAACTACTCAGACTCAGATTTCCACTTTTCCAAGCCTCTGGATTACACATGTCACCACAATGGCACTGGAGTGGCTGAGAGAAATGGACAGGCACATTGGGATGACATAAAGGTACTTCTAAAAAAACTATGAAATTCTAGTGATTTGTGGAGTTGATATTTGTTCTTGGCATTTCTTACACTTGACAGGTAGAGAATATGGCTTTATTTTTATATAAAACTATTCTCTGAAACAATAGCAGCCATGAATGACATAGTTAAAGCTCCTTTTCCAATCTTGTTTTTTGCCCTTTGTGAGGTAGGTAAGCCCTGACCAATTATTTTAAGCTATCTTTTTCCCTCCCCTTCCTACACATGGGGATTTGATCAGTACCACAAGATAAATCCAAAAGAAGGGAGAAATAACCAAACCCCAAAATGTTTGCTGAAATGTGTCTAACTGCCCACGTTTGGTTAAATTTATAACAGACTTGTAAAAAGGCAATTCTGATGCCTTTGGGCCTTATCTGCTAAAGAGAAATGAATGACATGGGTCTGCTATCCCATCCAATTTTCAGCTGGCAGGGGATTTTTGGGATGCAAAGCCAATTCAAGCTGTTTGCACTGTCCCACCTCAATGGATCTTCACCGTGAATTTCTTTACGCAAAAACACAGGTGCTGCCTCTAGCCCTCTTTTGTGTTTTTCAGTGCACTGGTCTGAAGGAAAAAAATAAAATAAAATAATAATAATAATAATAAAAAAAAGGTTTTAGCTTTTCCCAAGCCGTCCTATCTAGCTGCAGTCCGTGGCGTTGCAGAAGTCTATCAGGTGCTTGGGTTTCTTGGCGGGCTCACAGCTTTCTTGGGGCAGCACGCTGCCGTCGGCAGAGACACATTTCAACAACCTCTTCTTGAAGCCCTTCCCACACGTCTTGGAGCAGGGGGACCAGTCCCCGAGCTGCCACTGCGGGCAGGGCACGTCGGCGCAGGGCCGCAGGTTGCTGGGCCTCAGCTCGCGGGCGCAGTCGGCGGCCGGCCGGCCCCGCGGGTCCCGGCACTCCACAGCGCGCCGCTGCCAGCCCGAGCCGCACGACTTGGAGCACTCGCCCCACTCCTCGATCACCCACTCCGAGGAGATGATCTCCCTGATGGCGTTGAAGGATTCCTTCTTCTTGCCCGCCGCCGCCGCCGCCTTGTCCGTGCCGGCCTGCGCCGGTTTCTTGACGAAGTAGGTGAACTTGATCTTGGGCTGCGGCAGGTCCCCCACCGTCAGCACCTGGATGGTCAGCGGCTCCTTGAGCGGGCTGAAGCTGCGGATGCGCTCCAGGGCGGCCGAGGAGCCGCTGTAGCGCAGCACGCTGCCCTTGTAGGTGATGTCCTGCTCCAGCGTGGACAGCGTGTAGTCGCCGTTGAGCACGTAGGTGCCGTCGGCGGCTTTGATGGCCAGGAAGCTGCCGTCGTGCCGCGCGCCCCGGTGGTTCCGCTGCTTCACCTCGATGTTGGTGGCGCCCGCCGGGATGGTGACCACGTCGTGGTAGCCAGGTCTGCCCCGGGAGAACAGAGAAACACTGAGTCCCTCTGCAGGGAAGGGGAAAAAGCCTCCCAGCCCAAGACTAAAGCTTGTCTGAAGTCAAGGTGTTTGGCTCGATAATGGATGAATCCCACCCACAAGGACAAGGTGAGGCAGCTGCCCTATCATTAATGGATTAATCCTACCCACAAGGACAGGTGAGCTTCCCCCCACAAGGACAAGGTGAGCAGCAGCCCCACACTCACTTGGCTCTGACGAGGGTGCCAGACACCTTCTTGCAGGTGGAGCCGTTGCCGCCGCAGATGCCGCACTTGTCGAACTTCTTGTTGGAGCCGATGGTGCGGTCGCAGCCGGCCTTCACACACTGCCCCTGCACGCACACGGACGTGGAGTCGGGGCTGCACGGGGTGCCATCCACCACCTTAGGGACACAAGGAGCCTGGTTACAACATGCACAGTGCTCTGAAACCGTGTGACACAAAATACTGATGGTGGAAAGCCCACAGCACCTGTCGTTTTCAGGGCTTTGGAAAGTAAAAAGCAGAGCAGCCCACAGGTAGTCTTCTCACTTGCCAAAATGATGCCATGGTAAGAGGAGAAAACAATCCCACTTTTCATTAATACCTCCCCCTAAAAACTTACTCTTTACTGATCTCATACAAAAGAAGCCCCATTGCTTTCTAGTGTCCCTAGAATGCAGCCCTGTCCTCAAATCACACTGCCAGCGCTGCTTTTAATGCTGTTCAGCACATCCTTTATTTCTAGGAGTGCTGTTCCACAAAAACCCTCTGTGTCATCGCCCTGGTAGTTCCTGGCTCTCACCATCTGATGACAGCGAATTCAAGTAGCTATGCAAGATGAACATTTTTCCTCGTGTTTATTTTAAGCTGTCAGCATGTTAGTAACTAGTATGAGAAAGCACCAATGTTCTGGCAAAGATCCCTCAAGAGTTTTCCAAACCTATCTCAATGCAATCAGATTGGTGGAAGGAGAGGGAAGAAAACCAGGGTGGAGTGGGCAGAGGAGGTGGAAGGATTGTGCCAAAACACTTAAAGCATGCTTGCAATGATCCTGCTGTACATGGAGGAATAATCCAGCTTAAATATGAGAAAGCCAATTTCAGATTTTTCACTGCTTGACTCTTCACATAGAGAAAATAAAAATCCCCCTCATGATCAGCTGGAAGAGGTGCAGTTTTGAAATACCTTTGGCTGTAGAACAAAGAAGTATCCCGTTCCTTTGGCTCTGCAAACCAGCTTGCATCTGTCCTTTGGAGACACACCAGCGAACTTGGGTGTCCACTCCACCGCAGGTCCGCTTCCAAAGGCAGACTTGGAAAACTCGTTGTGCTTTTCACACTGTTCCTCCCTGAACGTTTTGCCTGCAGGCAGAGAAAAGACAGGTGGCCATGAGATCATCTCTGTCCGTGCTCTTCCTCCACAGCACACCCACCCTGGCTGTCAGAAATGGGGAATAATTACCGTTGTTGTCGGGGCAGTCCTCGATGTTGCAGGACCGGTACTGCACCCGCTTCCCCTCGCAGTACTTGCCGCCGTTCCTGGGCACGGGGTTGTCGCATTCCCGGAAGGAATACTGCACTCCCCCTCCACAGCTCCGTGAGCACTCGCCCCACGCCCCCCAGGAGCCCCAGCCCCCGTGCACTGGCGTCTGCAACGACAGCAAAGGCAGGACACGGGTTAAATACAGGAAAATCCGTGCAAAACCACACCATAAAAACCATCACTGCGTTCATTTTTACCCACCCGAACTCCTTAAAAAACCTGCCCTAGCTTTGCTCATCAGCATCGAATCAACCCCATCTCACAGATCCCCCCCACTGCAGCACCCAAAGCTGCCCCCATTTCTTTTTCAATACTCACATCATAATGCTTCTTCTCAGTCTTGTTCACACACTTGCCATTCATGCACCACCTGCCCTCGCCGCAGCTGGTGCCGTCTGCCCAGGGGAAGTGTTTGGTTTGGCACACCAGCAGCCCTCCCGAGGTGCCCGTGCACCACAGCGTCGTGCACGTACTGGCTGCGTCGGGGCAGTGCTTGGACTCGTCTCCAAACGTGAACTGGCACTGCCTGTTGGCATCGTACAGCGTGCCAGGCAGGTCCGAGGGCAGCTGGATGGGCCTGTGGGGCTTGTCCAACAAGCACTCCCCTGAAAAAGTTGGAAAAAAAAAAAGTCAGATGATGCCGCGGGGGTCAGTTTAAAAAGTGAACTGCATTTGCTTTTGTGCCACCATTCTTGTAAAAATAAGGCTCTTCTAAACTCCTTACAGCATGCAAAAGGTTAAGTCTGTGCTGAAGCAGAAACACTCTTGAAGAAAAAAAAAAAAAAAGCAAAGCAGTAAAGCACAAGAGCTGAAACGCCACATGAATGGAAAGCTTAATAACCTTACCATGACCGTTATCCAGAAACGTTGTAATCATGTAGGCGCTGCATGGAGACCAGGGCTGGCTGCGGTCCAGGTTGGAGAGCATGGATGCCATCATGTGGAAATCCCGGCTCATTCCATTGATGCCAGCACACTGCTTTGCATCGTCATGAGGCATGTTAAACACGTGGCCTTGGAGAAAAGGAGAAAAGCAAAGTCTGTGACTTTAGGAAGTCTGTCCTACGCTTTACCGACAGTATTTTAAATATTGCTCTAGAGCTGCTCAGAGCCCGGTCTGTAATTAATAACCCGAAACTGAACGCTCCCAGATTTCAAGCAGATGGCACTGGATCTTCCATCCCGGTTTTTTTTTTTTTTTTTCCTGCAGGCACACACACAGCCTCTTGCAGACAATGCTGTGCAGGCCGGATTTGCTTTCCCGAGTCCAAGCCTGCTCCAAGACAGCGCTTTGCCTCCTCCCGACCGCTCCGGGGAGGTGCAGGCTGGGCTTTACGGCATCAAGCTGGCTTCAATTAATCCCAGGGAACGGCTTTGCAAAGTTTCAAGTACCTAATTCGTGGGCCGTTGTGAAGGCAGCCTGCAAACCATCGTCTTCTATGATAGAGCAACTGCGGTTTAGATCACAAACTGTTCCCACATCAGCCATCCCAAGAGTATCACATGTCTTGGCACCGCACAGGTCCTGTAAAAAAAGGCAGTTTCATTATTAATCAGATCAGAGACTTAACCTTGGCAAGAGCCATCCAGCCCTGGCAGTTTGCCTTTACTTATGGAAAGAGCATAAATATTCAGCACTTCAATGGGTATGATGGCAAAAATCTGTCTCTGGAACATAGGCGAGGGTTACACGTAGAAACGAATGCATAATTTCCATCTGAAATCTGCTAAAAATATATGGGGCAGGAACACAGTGCACAATCTGTGAGTTTACAAAGACAGTGCACAAACTCTGAGCTTCACCAGACACGGTGCAAACAGGAAAAAAAAAAAAGAATAAAACGAAAAGCAGCTCATGTAATTTTCAGCCCGCTTCACTGCAGCTGCGGTGACACGCGACTGTCTCTGGACACTTTTTCGGAGTGTAGGGAGCAGTGGGCGTGGGGCTGGATGCGACTCGGTGTCCCTCACCTGCCTGGTGAAGAGGATGGCCGTGTCGTAGTGCTCGGCGTGCCGGTCGCTGGGCGGGTTGTGCTGCTTCTGCCAGCTGCAGAAGTTCCTCAGAGTCAGGGCGGCGTTGGAGGAGATGTCGGGGCCCTTGCGCTCCTCGTAGATGACCATGATCTTCACCACCACCAGGCTGATGGAGTTGCGGATGCTGGGGTGCTTGTACAGCTTGGCGGCCACGGAGAGCAGGGTCAGCAGGTAGTGCTTCAGCCCGCTGCCGTGGAACTCAGCCATCGACTGGTCGGCCACCAGCATGGTCTCCACGTAGCGGGGGCTGGACACGAACCTCTTCTTCCTCCTGCTTTTCGTTTCTGCGTTAAAAAGGACAGGGAGGGAAAGCGCAGGTGAGCACAGCAAGCCAGCACCGTTCAGAAGCCCAAACCCGCGGGTGCCCGAGATGCGCACCCCTGCTTTGTGCTTGTTGGGCACCTCGGGGCGGGATGCGGGGCAAGCAGCGCCGGGCATCCCCGCCACACCCCCGCCCTTGCCCTCCCCGTCCCCGCGGAGGCCGGCGCGGCTTCCCCACGGTACCTGCGGGCTCGGCGGGCTCGGGCGGCTCCGCCCCGGCCCCCGCCTCGGCCACGGCGCAGCGGGCGGCGGGGGCGGCGCGGGGCGCGCCGCGGAGGCGCAGGAGGTGCGGCCCGTGCTGGTGCGCGGTGCCGGGCGCGGGCTGGATCAGGTACTGGCGGCCCCGCAGCGAGAAGGCGCCGCGCAGCCCCGCGCACAGGCTGAGCGCGGCCGCCGAGCCGGGGTCGCGGTTCACGGTGCCGGAGTAGAAGCAGCGGGAGAGGTCGTCCTCGGGCGGCGGCGGCGGCCCGCCCAGGTACTGCAGGGTGAAGTCCGGGGCCAGGAAGCTGCTGTCGGGCTCCAGCTCCAGCGTCAGGCGCTCCCCGAAGGCCTCCAGGCGGAAGCGCTCTCGGGCGCCGGGCGCGCCCAGGCGCCGCGGCAGCACCAGCGCCCTGCGCTCGGCGCTGCACAGCCCCAGCAGCGCCGCCAGCACCGGCGCCAGCGCCGGCAGCCGCCCCCCGCTCCTCATCGCTCGGCGCAGCCCTTCTCCTCTCTTTATTTCACTTTATATAGGAATGGATGTGGAAGATGTGGGTTTTTGCTTTCAGGTTTTGGGGGGTGTCTGAGTCTTTCTGCCGGCGGAGGACAGCGCGGGAGCCGCGTCCCGCGGTCACTGCAGAGGCGGCGTCGGCTTCCCCATGGCCGGGGCGCGGCGGCGATGCCGGGGAGCGCGGCTGTGCGAGGGCAGCGCTGCCCCTCGCTCCGTCCCTCTGTCTTCTGTCCTGCTCCGGCTGCCGCTTCTCCTCCTCAGCCTTCCCCGGCTGCAGCGACAGCGGCGGCGGGCGGGGAGGACGCTCCGGCGAGTCTGCGGCAGCCCCGGGACGGTCCCGCCTGCGCTTCCAGGGCGCCGAGGAGCCTGCCGTGCTTTGCGGAGCGGAGCGCGAGCCCGTCCGCCTCCGCCGTGCGGGGTGAGTGCGGGAGCGGGGCTCGCCGCCGCCCTTTATGGGGTCCGGCCGTGCCGCCCCCAGCCCGGCGCTGCCGCCGCGCCCGCGCCGCTGAGATCACTGCGTGCGTAACGCGCCCGCGGGCGGCCCCCGCCGCGCCGCCCTCCCGCCGCCCCCGACGGGGCGGGACGGCACCGGCACGGCGCGGGGTCGGCCCCCGGCTGCCGCAGCGCGCTGGGCTCGCCCCTCGCCGGCCCGGGGGGTTCGTGCCCGGCTGCGAACGCTGCGCGCCGCGGGGATCCCTCGGGGAGCGCCTGGATGCGCTGCAGGTCCGTCCCCCCCCAGGAGCGCCGGGCCGGCCACCTGCCGCTCCCCGAGCCCGTGGGGCGAGCGAGGCAGGGGACACATCCCTGCTCGCCTTCGTGGCTTTTCCTTCTATTTTTCTTCCTTTTTTTTTTTTTTTTTAATTTTTTCATTTTTAATCCCCCCCTTCCCAAGCAATTGCTGCCCTTTCTCGGCCCTAATAGCTGCAGTCGGTCATGCACCTGTACTTGTGAGAAATGGTTCCTTTCCAATCACTTAAACAGAGGCGTTTGCGTAGGTGCAGCTAATGTTCTGCTTTGAAGGCATAACCCGACCATGGTGGTGCTGCTAATCCCCTTAATTCTTTATGTGCACAGCCCCAGCTTTCTGCTTCTGGAGGCCTTTTTGGAGGAGGAGGGCAGAGAAGTGGTGAGTGAATGTGTGAATAAAAACAGAATGTGTGTACCTGTTGGTGACAACTCCCGGGCTTCCCAATTAAACAAAGATGCTTCTGTGTCTGTCAGCACATCATTCAATACAAGTATGAAACTCAGGGGCTGAAAACAGAAGGAGCAAAACCTTGGGAAAGGGCAAATGTTTCTAAAATTTTGTGTAAAATTGTATGTATCCACTGTTTTCTCAGGCTGGAGCGTCTCATTTATGCCACTAAATCTAATAACCCTAAGGCTTTCTTCCTAATTTAAACCATGTCAGACAAACTTGGAACCACATGTGTGTGTCAATAGCCCAGTCTGACTGCCTGCTAAGTTCTGACAATGCTTCCATTTCCCATGGCGTCCTGTAAATCTTGCAAGCTTAGAATTGCACATTGTTTGAAGCTGTGCAAAGAAACACAGGAAAAGATGAACCCAATTTCTCAGCTACTTACTCAGCAAAAGTGCTCTTGCCCCACAGAGTGATGGGCAAAATCAGAAGTAGGCCTCAAATGTGGGATTTTCTTTGGGACACAGCAGGAAGTGCTGGATTGACATCCAGAGGCTGTGACTGCTGCCAATTAATACATCAGCAGCAGAAAAATCCATTCAGTTACGAGAATTTTCACTTGAGTTGGAAATGTGTGTCCATCTCTACCCTTACCTTTGAGATCTGTGTGTGCCCAGCTCTGCTGTGCTTTTTCTAGGGTAGAACACAACAAAGGTGCTATTCATTCATGCTGGTAATTAATTTGGTGTTACACGTGATACCTGATTTAGGGAATTACCAGTTTAAAAGCCTGGAAATAGAAATGAGGAATTGAAAGGAAAGCATCTTCATAATTTATTTTTCAACTTTCATTGGCTCAAGATAGAGACTCTTACAAATATATATGAATTAAGAATAGGAAAATCTCCTTGTCTGTCAGCATAATCAGTGTCACTCATAGATCAGCAGGGACCAGAGCTAGGCCACCAAAGGTGTGTCAACCCAGGTGCCAGATGCACCTTTGGTTCTGCTGCCGTTTCTTGATGTTAATTCTCTGATTCGAAAAGATCCTGACCACCTTAAAAGAGCTTTTTCAGGCTGAAAAGGCTTTTCCATATTCCACCAGGTGGCACTCGCCTATAAAAAATTGTTATGGGAGAGTTCTATGTTCGTCTCCCAGCTTTCCTGATGGAAAGGCTTGCATTTTAGCAGGGAGCTTTACAGTTCCCTGATTAGAACAGAAGTTTTCCTGGCCTTTATGTAATATCCAGGAAAGTGTTTTAGCAGGGAACTCAGCTGTTCTGTTGCACTACCTGAACACAAACTGTGTTGGGAAGGAATTTGTAAAACAGGTTTGCTGCCTGTCACACGTGGATCATCTTGTAGGTTCTTAAATTCCTTCCTGTGAGCAACCCCCGCGAGTTTAGCTGGATTATTCAGGGCACTGAAGCCTCTGTATATGTATTTTTGATCTGTATTGTACCAAATCTGGGCCAGCTCCAATCACAGTTTGTATGAATCAAGACTTAGAAAGAAACACACTGACCTTTCCCAGGATTTCACGTAGATAAAGACCCAGAAAAGGCATAAAATTGTTCTTTTTACAGAAATTGCTAGTGCTTGGAGGAAGAAAGCACAGCCTGTCAGGAGTACAAGACAGTGTAATTCCAATTAAGCCACCAGATAGCGCCACCACATCACCGTTTTTGGGTCAGACCGTCGTCTTTTGCTCTGCAAGAACAGTTTTTATGGCTCAGACCCAAGTGCTGTCGGTCTCTGAGCAGGATTAACAATGCTGAAGCTTTAATTTCTTCACTACTGTTTGCAATAATGGCTGCTTCCAAAATTAAAAAAAAAAGGCAACACAAGCAACCATCCCAGCCTTATTTGTTTCAGAGCTGCAGAATGTTTTCTTCTTTCAAAAACTGCTATAATTAAATTTAAATTAGAATTAAAACAGCAGATGGCACATTAGGCCCATTGAATAGGGGATAAAAGACCTGATGCTGTAGAAAAAGTCCTCTGAAAAACACTTCCAAGAGTATTTCTGGAGATTGTTTCTCTGTGATGTCTTTGTGTTTGGCGTGATTAATTTATATATTTCCATTTATTGTTCATTTTGAGATCATTAACCATTGGGATTTTAGTAGGGTAAGAAGGTTGAGAGAGAAAACCTCTAATTTTGCCTGTTTTGATAATTGGAAATGGGAAAAAGCAAAAACAGAATATCCATCATTACTTTAATGAGAAATACACATTTTTATTCTGGAGAAAAATCGTGGTATTTAATGTGGTGATGCATTTTTCTGTCATTTCTGCTTTTACATTACTGATTATCAAAGTTGCTTTAAAAAATTGATGCAGAAATTTGGGCAGCCTCCAAATTTTATTGCTAAACAGCCCATGTAGGCCTGTGTGCACTCAAAATGAGCTGCTCCCAATTCTTTCTACTTTCCCTTATAAACTTTTATCAAAATGGCATTCAGCAGGAACTTGGACTGCATGAGTAAAATATTCTGCTATTTAAAAAGAAGGAGGTTTGCATGAGAATGTGAATTCAGACCTGTCCATATCCTGCAGAAATCCACAAAAAGTGGTTTAAAAGACTGTTGAGGTCTGACTTTGTCTCACTTTTTGGTAGTAGAGGTGTTCCCACTGAAGAATTTGCACAACCATCTAAATATCTTGTGAACAGCTGACCTAAATCTGAATTTTCATGGTCAAAACAACTGCCAGGGACCAAATAAAAGCAATCAGGCAAAGCAAAATGCTTCATTATGGCATGTCTGCTTTAAAAGTGTTTCAGAAGATAAGTACAGCTTTAACAATGGCTCCAGAGTCCCTTAGCAAATGGCAAGGAGCACATTCATAGTGCCCTGAGCTCCACTGACATTTTGGTATTTTTATCACACTGGGATTTCAACAGATCCCTCACTTTGTCCTGTGCTGTGGACAGAGGATTTCACAAGCACTGCAAGACATGATACAGCTCTGTGGAATTCCTCCTAATGAAAACTCATCCCTGCACCTATTAATAATTTTTTACCTTTGAGATTTCTGTGTGTGATGTGCCACACTCATTCCAAAGCCACTGTCCACTAAGATTTCCACGCTGTCCTGGATGTGCTGGGTCGTTCTTTCTGACCAGAGACCATATAATGCTGATCCACCTTATAAAAAGTGTCAAGAAATTTGAACATTAGCAGCAAATATTTTCAGTGGAGTTAAATACCCTTCACCCACCCTGGCTCATCCCCTCCTCTCCCACCCTTCCTCCCTGTTATGCTGTACAATCAGAAGTTGATTGGCAGTGAGTGTATTTAACAAAGGGCACAAACCTTTAAGGAAAGTGATTAACCACTCTCCGCTCTCCAAACAACTTATATACATGCTTAGACTCATCTAATCCATGCTTTGCTAAAAGCTTGGATGGGCTTTCCTCTTGGTTTGTAGGGATGGGGCTCAAATGAGCAACTCACTGCCAGTAATGACAATCTCCTAAATTCCCCTAGAGCGCTTATCCTTCTTTAACAGGTAAAAACCTGAGGTACAAAGTGATTTAGCAATTTTTTAGCAAGAAGAAAAAATACCTCTGTTAGATCAATGCAGTTCTTATACATTTGCAGAACCTGTAGCTCTGCCAGAATTTTCAGGACAGGGATAGTGATGTTGCCTATTGGTTCTTGCTTTTTGGCACATTTCATGCACATTTTGAACAGGATATGGGATGGTTGGCTCTTGGGGTTTCTTTCTGCTTTCAGTTCCCTTTGTTTCCTAATGTTAGGCTCTAATTTCAGATTGAGTTTTGCTTCTCTTTTAATGTTGGGGATGAAGTGAAAGGGAAATCTTTGTTTGCCATCAGGTAGAAGGGCGTGTAAGTCAGTAAGACTTGTTTAGGTGTCTTGGGATGGAACAAACTCAAAAAAGGTCTCCCTAAATCCACATCATTTCTCTATGTCATCACTGTTTTAATCACAAGGTCAGCTGAACTGGAGGCAAGACATCATCACATAATGTGGCTGACACATTGGGATGATTAATATTTCCATTTTATCAAGGAAATGAGAGAAATAAAAGGCTGTAACACTGACCTTAGACGAAGAACTGCAGGGTGTCATGGTGGGTTGGATGTCAGCTGATCCCTCATTCCTCCTCAGCAGAACAGGAGGATGAAAATAAGATGGAAAAGCTGGTGAATTGAGATAAAGGCAGGGAGCTCAATTACCAGTTACTGTCATAAGCAAAGCACAGTTACTATTGTTATATTTCTAGT